GATGCAAAGATGAACCTAAGACTAATAGGCATCAATGAGAAAGGAGTCAATACAAATGATATAAAAAGAATATGGACAGAAGTAATAGCAGAAAACTTCCCAAATATGGGGAAAAAATATAAAATTCAGGTAACCAAAGCATATGGAATTCCAAATAACATCAACCCAATTAAAACCACACCCAGACATGATAATCAAGATCCCAGAAATTCAGCACAGGAACAGTATACTAAAAGCCACTAGAGAAAAGAAACAGATCACATCGAAAGGAAAGCCCATCAGAATAATGACAGATTTCTCTTTACAAACCATCAAGTCAAGAGAGCATGGAGCAAAGTACTTCAAGTCTTGCAAGAAAACAAATTCCATAAAGAGCATTGTAGCAGGACTGTCCTGTGACATTATTTTTCCTGCCTCTTGTTTTCATTTATGGCTCCCTTTAAAAAAAACAAACAAACAAAAAAAACCAAACATTTACTTGAGAGACAGTATGGCAGTAATTGGTATGTCATTACAAGTGGTACATATTTAGAAGACCAGAATGCCAGGCATTTACAAACAAAAAAGTGGGATAGAAATGAACGACCCTTTTGTATCTGTATACTCAAAATAGGATAGATATACAGCTCCACTCTCTTAATTCAATAAATAGAGAGGTTTGTGACAACAAAGCCAACAAAGCCAAGAATTTTGTGACAACAAAGCCAACCCTACACAGACTACTAAAAGATATTCCAGAGAGGGATCAAAATGACCACAACTCCATGAATGAGAATGGAAAGAACCCACCAAATAGGGCAAATAATTAAACACAGGAGAAAAAGAGGTATACAAAAGCAGTCTTTCAATTATTCTTTTGTATATAGCAGCAAAATATTTCTATCAGCATACTCTACAAATGGACTTCTCCTGCACCCTATGGCTCATAATTCTGTTGGGTCTACATGGTGGATATCAATGAAATAGCAGTAGCTCAGTCCCACAAGTGACACCTGGCCACCAGTAAGCGTCATGGACACTGCCCACATCCAGCACATACTAGAAATTTGTGCGATATCTATACCCAAAATGTTAGAAGTGCTGGTCATATATTTGCCTTTCCAGTATTTTTGTTATGTTTTATTCTTAGTAATTCTTTACTATCGTGAAATTTTTTCTTAGTTGATATTTTTGTATATATTAACCTAGTCAAATATTGTGTGAGTACTCTGAATTGATCACAGATTCATAAATATGATACACTATATTCTGGCCTCATAGTTGGATTCACAATTTATTTTTTGAATATTGTTTTGAAATATTTAATGTAATTTTGAATTAATATTTAATTTTCTGAATATTGCTTGATCTTAATTTTTGTTTTATGATTTATACTGTTTCTTTGACTTAAAATATACTTATAAAACATAGTATATTTTTTCCTAGTATTAGACACTAAAAAGTGTAATTCTATTTTCCATTAACTTTATATTAGTTCTTCCTTGTCTTTTACACACACACACACACACACACACACACACACACACACACACAAAATGAAAAAATATGTATATAACATGACATAAGATTTATACTGTTTTGTAGAAATCTTCAATGACTTTTTAAATAGGTTCACCTAATATAGCTATATTTTACATAGTACTGCATTAACTATCATTTTGAGAGCTCTTTATTCTTTATCCAGGACCATACAGCAACTTCCCTTGCCTTTTGGATTATGCTCTTTGTTAATTTCTATATGCTATGTCTGGAGGTACTGGAATATTTTGAGTTTGTATAACTGGAAAATATTTTACTTTTAATTTTCAAAGGTATGTTTGCTAAGTACAGAATTCAATGAGGACAGATCTTTTTTTTTGTTTCAGTTCTTTGAAGAAATAAGTCTAGTTTCTTACCCACTTGCTCTTTTATTTTTTTCTAATGTGGAATAAGATGCCATTTAATTTTGTTCTTTCATAGCAATTTTTTTCTATGTATATGCTTTAATGATTTTTTCTTTACAATTAATTTTGGACAATTTCATTTTTGTGTATCTTGGCATGATTCTATTCATATTTCTTGTGCAAAAGGTTCATTTTTCTTGGAAATGTGGTGCTATAATTTTAACTAAATTCAGAAATTTTAACTGTTTAAATATTTATTGCCTATCCCCTTCTACTTTGAGAATTCTAATTATATGTATATAAGTTTCTTGACTTTGGCACGGAGAGAACTACTATATGACTGATCTGTAAATTCTTTCTTTTTCTTGTTTAGTTTAGACAATTTTATTGTTATAGGCATTTAAGTTTGTAAATAATTTTTCACAATGTGCAATCTATTATTTATCTCATGTTATGTATTCATAACATGAATATTTTTCTAAAATTCATTCTGTGTACACCTTATATCTTTCACATTTCAATATCTGTCTACAATTTTTAATTTGCTATATAAATACTATTGATTTTCAATAAAGTTAATAATGAGTACAAGAAAAATCATGTCTAGGTTGTCAACTATTTCAACACCATCTCTACTCAGTCAGGATTGCCACCAAGTTATACCATGGTATTTTGGCTTTTTTCTCTCTTAAATTAGGCCTATCTGCCCACTTTTGCTTTGTTCCTATCTCCAATTCAATCAGTTCCTGTTAAGTCGGATCTTTCTCATAGTAAGAAATATATGCCCTAAAATCTCTGAACCTTTTTTGTTTCTTGAATACCTTGGGAAAATTACTTCATTCTATTTCTGTAAACTGAGGAAACAGTTAAATCCTTCTGTAACAACTATTTCAGGTGCCCATAATGTGCTATTCACTGGACCAGATCTCAGGAATTGTTAAACATAAAATCAGTCGTTGTTGTATATTCCTGTAATAAGGAAAATCACTAATTTCATTATTAGATGAGATTTCTAAACAGTGCAATCAACCATAGAAACTTATGAAAGCACCTAAAAGCCTGTGTTAAAGGCATCTTTACAAATACCACTTATTAACTTGATTTTCATCAAGCATTAATATTTAGGATGAATAAAAATATCTTCTTTAACACAATTGCTTTATATTTAGTTTCACACTAAAATTGATTTTCTATTATCCTCAAGGTGACAATAGGTTTTCAGTGTGTAAAATATATTATTAAGCTATAGTAAAAACCCAGATGTCACTTGATAAATTGATTTCCAAGGCAAATGGATTCTAAAGTTTCAACAACCTACTGAAATAAACTTATAATACACAAAGCACTTGTAAATTGGGATGACTTAGTCCTTGTTTCTATATTTACATTCCTGTAGGTTTAAGATATGGTACCATCACTAAGATAACACTAGCAAATGACTAGCTTAAAAAAAATCTGAAGATTATCAAGTTGAATGCAAACATTTCATCCATTTAAAGACTGAGTGTGGGAATTTATGTGAAGAATTAGAAGTTGGTTGGTGATATTATCTCTATTATGTTTATTTTGGACTTTAAGTGTAAGGTACTGGTCCAGAAAAAGACTTCCACAAACCAGCAGAGCTGCTTCTAATACATGGGTCAATAGGAAAAAAAAAACACAAATGTGACTACAAAACAGAACCTGTTCTACAGGCTTCTGTACACATAGAGGAAATATTTAAAAAAGCATAGCCATTTTCTATCTATGGTACCAAACCTTTTCCTGTGTTTATTGATGCTGCAAAAATTTGCATTTTACCTAATTTGCTTGGCCCTGAAGACTCATTTGAAATCAGTGACTAAGGATATGTTGCTTGAAACTAATACAGAGTTGGGGCTGGAGAGATGGCTCAGTGGTCTAAAGCACCTACTTAGAACAAGCTTGGCAAGGCATCAGGGACCGCGGTTCAATCCCCCAGCACCACATGCCAGCCAGCCCCGCCCCCTGGTGGGCTGAGCTGGCCACACACACACACACCACTCTCTCTCTCTCTCTCTCTCTCTCTCTCTCTCTCTCTCTCTCTCTAATAAATAAAAATAAAAAAAAAATTAAAAAAAAAAAAAGAAACTAATACAGAGTATATTGGAAACTTTGCTCAAAATGGTACATCTTTACTCAGTGTGTTCATCTAACAGTTAACAATACACATTTCTGTCTTTCTACAGAAAAAGTCATGGTATACTTTCTGTTCATGCCTTTAAACATTTAGTATGTGTATCTATCATATAATCTCCTATGTAAAGATCATATAAATAGAAGTACTAGAATATAATTAGACACTTAAAGAAATTATTTTTCTTTTCTCTGCTCTTGTACACACACATACCTATACACACACAGAACCCTACGTGGTTATAATAGTTCTTCAATAGAACAGCATGATTATATGAAAACTTAGTATCAACACTAAGAACAAAATAATTGCTTCATTTCTTCACTGAGAAACCTGTTGACATTCATTTTATATCAAATGATAAATTTTATAGACAAATTATCTAATTTTTATTTTCCTTTTAGAACTTTGGAAAAATCAGGATTTACTTAATGGATATCAAAGTAGCTGTTAACATTTAAATCTTCATCTTTTTTATTAACAGTATCAATATTTTAACATCAATATTTTAATTTGAATTATGAGAAAATGATGTAATTTAAATGATTTATAAAGTTAAGCATCACAATCTTAACTTTAAATTTACAGACAGTGTATAGAAAAGGATAATTTCTGAATTTCATGCAGTTGAAAGAGAAGCCTGAAAAATAGTATACTGCCGCTATTTTATTTTTGGAAACTATGTAAATAAAAACCCACTTCCAAAATAAGATATTCCATGGACACAGAATAGTTGGTAATCATTCAAGTGCCTTAGGCAACAGAGAAGTATTGTTTTGTAGTTGTTGTTCTTTCAAGCCTCTCCTAGTAACAGCAGTTCATCATGTATAAAGGAACAAGGTAGCAGCTTAATTTTAACTATATTAGTAATAACTGTAGGACCTCAAAAAACCCCTCAAGTGTACCATATTAATTCCTTTTCCATAATCTAAATTGGTATAGATAATTTATTTGATACTCACCAAATGGTAAGAAACACCCAGGCTTGTCTAAGCAATAAAACGCAGATACATGGTGAGGTGCTGAAGACAGCTCTTTCTTGGGCTCAGAGCACTTTAGAGCAAGTAGTCTTTATCTTCCATTTAATATAGAAAGCCTCCTGTTACCAAAGCGTGGCAGAGAAAAGACTTTGCACAATTCTGTCTCCACTTTCTGTGTCTCTCTTTGAAGAGTAACAGTTACGACCGGAAAACGTTAGTAGAAAATGATCACTTGAACACTCACACAGAGCAGCTGTAAATTTCCACTCTGCTTGTTCTCAGATTCCAAGCCTTGCTTGTCTCTTAATCTGTCACAGGCAGTTCTGTTTCTGGTCAAACCAGCTTGCTTATTCTTCTCCTCTCCCTGACACGTGCTTTTAAACACACACCCCACAGTCATGGCTCCCTCTTTTCCTCCCTCCCTCTCCAGTGTGTAATGTCACAAGAATGTGTATAAGGCAATTAAGCTGTGGCAAAATTAATTCTTGAGTGAAAAACAAAATAGCCTAGGGATAAACAAACATTTTCAACACCTTTTCTCCCTTAAATTTTAACTTAATAATGCATAGAGCTCTGTCAACTGATTAAACTGGCTTCACCATCTTTGCTTAACATGTAAATAAAAATTTCCAACAAAGGCATGTGGATAGTAACAGATTCATTGGCTAATGTGTTAGCTCCTCAGGGAAGATACTTTTCCCAATCATAATAAAGTGGTGCAAGTAAATATGTAAGTACCAAGAACTCATTCTTGAGATAAACAAGGAAGATTTGGATTAGACTGTTTATAATTTAGTCAGGCATGGGGACCCATGCCGGTAATCCTAGCATTTAGGAGGCTGAGGCAGGAGGATCAGAGGGACTTTGATGCTAACCTGAGCTACAAAATAAGCTCAAGGTCAGCCTGAAGTGCATATTAAGACTATGCCCCAAAATGAGCAAAAAAAAAAAAAAAAAAAAGTTCTTATAATTTAAATAGTATAATTTTATGAAAAGTGAGTGAAGTTTTAATATGGTATGTTTTGAAACCTAGACCAATAGTTATAGTTATAGAGGGAAAATTATAAAGAAAATACTGGGGCCAGGAAGATAGCTCAGTAGAACAAGCGCTTGTCTGGCAAGTGACTTCGTTCTGCCCAAAAAACAAAAACAAAAGAACCCCCAAAACAAACAAACAAACAAACAAACAAAAAACCCCAGAAAATACTGACATAAAAAGTTGTATAGTTTAATCATTTATTATTACATATAATTACTTCATTTGGAAAGAAAGTTTTTCTTCTTATATGCATTACTAGTCAGGATATATTATATTTCTTTACCAAGAATTATAGACATAAAGGGTACCAAAAATGGTTTTAAAATTATATGCCTATAATTATAGAATAAAATATCTTAAGATTATGGATCTTCCTTTGAGGCTTTGAGACAAGGAATTAGGTGGAAAGCTCAATGGAATGGTAGATGATGGGACAGAAACATTTGTACCATTCCTTAGAATTAGAAGGCAATGTGCACAGCTTGGAAAACCTGCTGGCTTTGTACAGAAACTAATCAGAATTGATGTAGAATGCTACTTCAGTCCCTTTGGCCAAAGACTGTCCAGTTTTCTGTCTCCCATTATTGTTTTCCAGTTGAAAGTTTTAGGCCTTTCTTCCGATAAATCTCCTAATCACAGAGCTAACAGAAATAGTTGTTACATCTATTATTCAGTAATATATTATTATTATTGGTCAAACTAAAATATCACTAAGAACATGAACTTAAGTGAGGTGAAAAATAAATGTCTATAAATAGTTGTTTATAAAGGTTAAGAAAATAAGCAAATAAAATTTGGCTTTAAAATACAAATTTCAGGCCACCAAAATAGCTCAGCTGACTAAGCACCTGCTTGGGCAAACACAGGGACCATGGTTCGATCTCTGGCACCACATACTATGCAGGTCCCACCCCTGGGTACACTGAGCCAGTCACCTAGAGCGGGTGTGGTAGTGCATGCCTGTAATCCCAGCATTGGGGTGGATGAAAACAGGAGGACCACTATGAGTCCAAGCTGCATAGTGAGACCCTGTACCAAATACATCTTATTTATGCATTTTTTTCTGTGGTCAGCTCAGCCTGCCCTGGGGGCAGGGCTGGCACAGCATGTGGTGCTAGAGATTGAACTTCGGTCCCTGCACTTGCGTAAGCTTGCATAAACAGGCGCTTTAGTCCGCTGAACTATCTCACTGCATCTATCTATCTATCTATCTATCTATCTATCTATCTATCAATCATCTATCAATATATATATTCTTGGATGGGGGAGATAGCTCTGTGATCTAAGCATCTAAGCACCTCCCTAGCAAGCCCAAGGACTGGGGTTTGATCCCTGATATTGCATGCGTGCAAGCCCCTTGTGGAGCTGACCACTGAAACTGGGCGTGGTGCACATGCTTGTAATCCCAGTGCTGGAAGGCTGAGAGGAGGATCGCTAGGCATCTGAGCTGAGTAGCCAGACCCTGTACCAAATACATAAATATAAATTAATTAATTAATTAATTAAAAATAAAAATATATACATTTCTTAACATGGTTCATTTATAGTTTTAATGCATAAGGACTTAGGGTAAATCCCTAGCATCACACACACAAACACATAAACACACATACACAAACACACAAAGCAGAGTTTTAAATATATTGTAAGGTATCTTAGTTATTCCTCTTTTTTTGGGTAGGGGGCAGAATCAGAAAATTGAACTCAGGCCCTTGTGCTTGCCAGGGAAGCGCTTATTCCACTGAGCCATCTCCCCGGCCCCCTTAGTTATTCCTTAACACTTAAGAAATAAATAGCAGGTTTATAATCTCAGTTACACATGAGGCTGAAGAACGAGGATAGTAAATTCAAGAGTAACCTCAATAGGGGCTGGGGAGATGGCTCAGTGGAATAAGCGCTTCCCTGGCAAGCAAAGGGCCTGAGTTCAATCCCCAGTTCTGCAAAAGAATAACTTCAACAATTGGATGATATTCTGTCTTAAAACACAAAAGTGAGTGGATTAGTCTGTCATTTATTCTTTTAAATAGTAGTTTCATAAAAAATTTAGTTTTATTTCCTATTTTATTTTTTTTTTAATTTTTTTTTTAAATTTTATTTATTTTGTGTGTGTGTGTGTGTGTGTGGCCAGCTCAGTGCACCAGGGGGCGGGGCTGGCTGGCATGTGGTGCTGGGGGATTGAACCGTGGTCCCTTTGCTTTATTAAGCTTGTTCTAAGTAGGTGCTTTAGACCACTGAGCCATCTCACCAGCCCCTTTATTTCCTATTTTAACAAGATGGTAAATCGAGCCTATCCTAAGTCAGTAAGGGATATTCAGTGTCTAGTCCCTTGGATTATATTTCAAAGAGTTCTAGTAGAATCTAAGAAATTCAAAATTTGTAAAAATGGTTATTAGAATAATACTAGTTAAACATTTTTTAAGTTACTTTAAACATGGGAGACTATATAAATCTATAATAGATTCAAAGCTACTAAGTAAAATATATAGGGGCTAGGGATGTAATTCAATGATATAGTATGTTTCTGACCTAGCATCTGCAAAGCCCTGGGGCTTAACCCCCCCCATGTATATATATAATTAATAAGATAACTACATATGATAATGAGAACATTTGATTCCTACTGAACACTATTTTTAAAATTGTACATAAAGTGAAAACCCTGAATAGTTGAGTAACAGACAATGGAATTGAAGTAGTAATGAAGCACCAAGTAAGAAAGGTTAGGTAGATTAACTACTGAATTCTACAAAAACTTCAGGAAAGTTCTAACACCAATACTTCTTGAGCTTTTTAATAAAATTGAATGAGAAGGAATATTCCCAAAGTCATTCCTGAAAGATACCATTACTGATTCCAAAGCCAGACAAGAATCCAACCAAAAGGTGCCAGGGAGATGGCTCAGTAGAATAAGTGCTTGCCTGGCAAGCACAAGGGCCTGAGTTCAATCCCTGGTAAAAAAAAAAAAAAAAAAAAAAAAAGATTCCAACCAAAAAAGAAGAACCACAGGTCTATCTCTTTAATGAATATAGATGCAAAAATCCTCAAAAAGTCACTGGCAAATTGAATACAACAAATCATCAAAAAGATCATATAGTAGGCTGGCCAGATAACTCACTAGACTAAAGTGCCTGCTTAGGCAGGTGCAGGGACCGGGATTTGATTCCATGCTGGCTTAGTCCCCCCAGGGCACGCTGAGAGGCTGAATGAGACTGGGCATGGTGGTGCATACCTATAATCCCTGTGCTTGGGAAGCTGAAAACAGGAAGATCACTATAAGTCCTATCTGTGTAGTGAGACTCTGTAGAGTCTGTACTAAAATACATAAAAAAAAAAAGATCATATACCATGGCCAAGTACACTTCATCCTAGGGATGCAAGGATAGTTCAACATAACACCAAACAATAAATAGAAGCTAGGACAAAAATCACATGGTTATCTCAATAGACATTTAAAAAAACCCTTTGACAAAATCCATTATCTTTTCATGATGAAAACACTCAGGAAAATATAGAAGTGAGACAAGAGATAGGGTATAGCTTAGGCTGACATGGAAGAGATGGGATCCCAGGATCTATGCAGCACTGCCCCTCAGGACCCATAGGTAGAATTTCTTGTGGGTTCCCCTAAGATGTGGACAACATATAAAGATACAATGCCATAAGGAACTCACTATCATGTCTTTTTAATAGTAGCCAACCCTGAGCCTCCAAGATCCAGGATGTACTTTCATTTTTATTTTTCCTACTTGTTCAGCCCAAGTCTACCTGGCAAAGTCAGCTTTTCCCTCACCTCTACTTTTCAAATACTTTTGGAACCATTTTTGACTGACCTTGTTAAATTTGTTGAGGTGAGAAAAACCTGGGATACATTTAATTGTTGAGCTTTTTCTAAAAGGAAGTACCTAATAACAGAAGGACCATATCTCAATCTAATAAAAGACATTTATGACAAACCTACCACCACCATTATATTAAATGAGGGAAACCTGAAAGTTTTCCCTCTAAAATCAGGAACAAGACAAGGATGTCTATTATCACCACTCCTGTTCAATATAGTACTCAAAACATTACCAAGGGAAATTACAAAAAAAGAATGAACGAGGAAAAAACATGAATAAAATGAAAGAGATAGTATAGGAAAAGAAGATGTCAAACTGTCATTATTTTCAGGTGACATGATCCTCTACATATAAGACCCCCTCCTCTTAAAATCCTCTAAAACTCTTACTAGTAAGCAACTTCAGTAATGTTTCAGAATACAAAAATCAACACACAAAAATTAATAGCACTACTGTACACTAACAATGAGCCCACACAGGAGAAATTAGGGGGAAAATAT